CTTCCTTCCTTCCTTCCTTCCTTCCTTCCTTCCTTCCTTCCTTCCTTTCTTTTCATTCCAAACCAACAATCAGCTTGTGCAAGAAAGCCAAAAAGTGCCCACTTACATATCTCTCTCTCCAAACCAAATGTCTGCCAGCTTCTCTCCCTCTTTTTGGTCTGCTGTGTCCAGCAGTTACTCTCTCATATATATCAGTGTTAGAAGGAAGTTCCTGCCCTCAAAAATCTTTCCCAAAAACATTGGGGGAAATTCCCCCGTCCTGATTGCATCACGGGGAGAAAAAAAGATCCAGTGCCCAGCTGAACCTTTGTTCAAAGGCAAATGTTGACAAATGTTGAAAACCTGAAGCCTTTTCCCAAAATGAACTTTTCTCTGTTTTTTGAGGGGGAGGAGAAACAATTTCCTCATCTCTTTTGGAAAACCGCCTAAAACAAGTGGAAAAAAACACACCTAGACCAGTGATAGCGAAAGATTTTTGGCACCGAGGGCCCAAACCAGAACACGCGTGCAGGAACACTCATGTCTGCACGCTAGAGTGCTGGGAGCCTGAAGACCAGCTGGCTGATGCACATGTGTTTTTGGCCATTTTTGGCCATTTTTCAGTCCATTTTCAGGCTGTTTTTCGGGCCGTTTTCCGGCCATTTTTTTGAGCTGTTTTTTTAGGACATTTTCAAGCTTGAAAAACAACCTGAAAACTTAGGGAGGAGCTAGCGTCGCATCAAAACTGCAGCTAATTCTGGTTACTCCAGATTAGCTGTGGATTCTGATCGGTTGGACCGTCTGAATTAGACCCAAGCTGTCCCAAAGAGACAGTGGGAGGTAGGGGGAAGCCCTGTGAACCCAGAGACACCCGTAAACCCCCTTTTCCTCGCGATCTTGAGCCAGGCCCCTAGGCTGCCGAAGCTGCTGACAGCTCCACAAAGCAAGAGCTGGAGAGAGAATAAAGCATGCCGTTATGGTGAGATCTTTTATAAAGGTTTTTTTATTCTAAAGAGAACACCCTAAACTTGAAGACTTAAAGAAAATACAGTATAAACAGAGAACTATCGGCGGGTTTGAGCATGGTTAATTNTGGCCTAGGAATTCTGGGAGTTGAAGTCCATGTATGGTGGCTGGGGGATTCTGGGGACTGAAGTCCAATCATCTGAAAGCATGCCAGCTTGGGAATTCTGGGAGTTGAGGTCCATCCATCTTGCAGCACACCAGCTGAGCAGGCTGGGAAAAGATCCGTCTCGAAGGCTTTAGGAGGCACAAAGTTGGGATCTGTTAAGTGAAGTTGCAATTTGACCCTTCAAACTTCTGGGGAAAGCACAGACCACATTGGGGAGATTAGGGAACAAAAGCACGAAGTCTTCCCGGAACCAGTCGAAGAGGGCCTGCAGGCGGCAGTCACACGCCCAGGGGTTCCCAGAGATTTTGAGCAGGAGTCCAAAAGACCAAGAGACCAAGGGAGAATCCAGAGAGGCGATCTCATTGCTGGAAAGATCCAACCATTGAAGATACCTCAGGAACCGAAAGAGCCCAGGCGGAACATGGGTCAGGCTGCTGTTCCTCAGTGAGATCATCTTCAGCTTGGGAGTCCCATGGAAGGTGTTAGGGGCAATCGACTTGATGGGGTTGTTTTCCAGTAGTAAGGCCGTTAAAAACGTGAGGCCTCTGAACATCTCTGGAGAGAGGCAGCGGAGGAGGTTGGAGGAGAGATCCAGGAACGTCAGCAGGGTCAGCTTTTGGAAGCAAGAATCCGGGATCTCCTTCAGCTGATTGTGCTCGAGATGCAGGGTCTTGAGGTCCCCCAGGGTATCGAACCAGGACCGGCGCAGTTCGGCCAGTTGGTTTCCACCGAGGGCTAAGTAGGTCAGGTTACCTGCATTGGCGAAGAGCGCTGGAGGTAGATCTTCCAGGAGATTTCTGGAAAGATTCAGGTAGTGCAGGTGTGGGAGGTTACGGAAGAGGCCACCTGGAAGGGTCTTCAACTGGTTGTTGGTCAGATAGAGCTCCTGGAGCTCCGGAAGACCCTGCAGGGCCTCCGCGTCAAGGCCAGAGATCTGGGTGGACTGAACGGAGATTGTCTTGGTTTCACTGGGGAAGCCTTTGGGAAATTCATGGAGCGATGAAGCATTGCAGATAAAAACCGTCTTTTCTGAGCCGGGAAGAGACACACAGTGAGGGACCTGTTGGGTGTAGCTGTTGAGGGACATCACAAGGCAGGCGATCAGAAGAAGTGGAGTTGAAGGCTTCATCCTATGGAGAGAAAAAGGGAAAGACAACATCTTAAGCTTCCCTCTCACATGTGGCCCAGCCAGGAGCCCTCCGCTTCGTCCTCTGTTTCTGCCTGCTGTTCCCAGATGCTGCACTGACTTTTCCTTAAGCTGAATTCCACCCTCACCACCCGGTTGCTCAATCAGGGTTGAAGCTCTCCTGAAATATCTGCAGCCCCTCCCGACTGTGTTATTTCCAAATTTGATAAGGGGCTCGGAAGAGAAGATGGTCAGAATGGGCTGAGGCTCAGGACTGGATGTGTTATTCATCTCTCTTATTTCCCTTTCTCTTTCCTTCGCTTCTCCTCTTTTCACTTCTTTCCCTCTTTCCTTCCTTCTTTGCTGCCTGCCTGCCTCTGTCCCTTCCTTTTCCTTGACCTCCCTCTATTTTTCCTTCTTTCCCTCCTTCCTTCCTTCTTGCCTGCCTGCCTGCCTCTGTCCCTTCCTTTTCCTTGACCTCCCTCTATTCTTCCTTCTTTCCCTCCTTCCTTCCTTCTTGCCTGCCTG